CGCCGATTCGCAGCGGCAGATTCGCCGCGCACGCCGCGGCCGCGCCGCCCTTAACGGTCGCGCCCGCGCGTCGGGGACGGGCACAGGGGCTGCGGCGCGGCCGCGAGGACTCGAACCCGCAACCTCCGGACGCGGGCGCCACTACCGGGACCTCAGACCCACTAGCCAGTAGGCCTCACTGGCCGCGCGCAGGCGTCAGCAGCGGGCGGAGCCGGGGCTGTGGGCGGGGCTTCGGTGGGGAGCGCCGGGCGGGGCCACGAAGGTGGGCGGGGCTTCGGGTGGGGAGCGCCGCCTGGGACCCGGCTCGGAGATGTGGGCGGGGCTTTGGTTGGTAGGCGGGGCTTCGGTGGGGAGCGCCGCCTAGGACGGGACCAGGAGCCGTGGGCGGGGCCAGGACGGTGGGCGGGGCCCGGGCAGGTCTGGGGCTGGCCCCGCGGGGCTGGTGGAGAGCCGAGGCCCCCGGCCCGGGCGCCCGCCCCTTCCCCGGAGCTGGCAGGCCCGCCTCGCGGTTCGCCCCGGCTCCCCGGCTTCCGCCTGACGGTGCCCGGCCGCCTGCGCCCCCGGCCCCTGTCGTGTCCCCGCATAAGTCCCCACTTCCTGACAGTTTCGTGTGCAACTGTTACCTTTGACAGTGACGTTTCCGTGCCCCCCACCCACGCACGCCCGCAAATATCTGCAGGTGCCGTTCGCAGTCACCGCAACACCCATCAACACCCATGCGTCCTTGAGAATAGGGCCACAGTTTTTTTTTTGTTTTGTTTAAAGATTTTATTTGACAGAGAGAGACACAGCGAGAGAGGGAACACAAGCAGGGGGAGTGGGAGAGGCAGAAGCAGGCTTCCCGCGGAGCAGGGAGCCCGATGCGGGGCTTGATCCCAGGACCCTGGGACCATGACCTGAGCCGAAGGCAGACGCTTAACAACTGAGCCACCCAGGCGCCCCAGGACCACAGTTTTTAAACACTCTAAAGTTTCGCTGTAGGGCACGGCCGCAGCTCAAACTCCAACAGAAAACGCCCCTTGCCCGCTTGGAAGCCAAGTGGCAAACGCATAAGCCGCTCCTGAGTTTGTAAAGTCCGTTTAATCCTAATCAAAAATGTCAACCAGCTTTTCAAATAACTTGAAAAGCTGATTCCCAGAGTCATCTGGAAGAGATCATTCACAAGCATAGTCAAGACAATTTTAAAACTAAAAAAAAAGGAAGGAGAGGAAAATTGCCCTTTTGTACATCAAAATATTGTATCAAATTACAGGCATTAAAACCACGTGACATTTGTACAGGGACAAACAAATGGACACAGTGGGATAAAACCAGCAGTCCACAAACAAACCCAACTGCACACAAAAATTTAGGGGCCGCAAGCCACTAAGGAAAAGACAGACTCTTCAGTGCTGTTGCATTCTCCTCCAGGTAGAGTAGGAACAGGGTAAATTGAGCCCCAACCTCAACTGCTCTGAAAATAAATTCCAAGTAGCATTCAGCACTGGTAGCCAAACAAGACCGAGTCTGATGGAATCAAGTGCGAGCGCATAGCTAAGCTTCCCAAGCGGGTTTTATGCTCCTCATAAGCAGTGGTTTCGAATGTTTGCAAAATGTACACAAACCACCTCACACAGAGCCTTCCACAGGTGTCCCCCCCTTCTCCCCAGTGAAGCTGAGGTCCACTTACCTGAGACAGTCTTTCCCACTGCTGCACCGTCAATGGTTGAAACCACAGAGGGGACTTTGTACACCTCTCTTGCTTAGGAAACTGGGATCGTTGAGGGGTGAGCCTTGGGTTGGTGGCCCCAGCATGTGGGCATCCCCACGAAGACCCCAGGGGAGCACCTGGGAGTGCAGACTATGCTCGCCCTCCAGGCGGTGTGTTAATTACTAGTTGCTGCCTGACAAATTACCACAAAGCTTGGCGGCTTAAAACGACAAACATCTGTCATGTGCCGCCATTTCTCAGGGCCAGGGATGCGGGAGAGCCTGGCGGGTGGCTGTGGCTCGGGGTCTCCCGTCAGGTTGCAGTCACTCCGACTCAGCCACACCGGGCACTGCAGGCTTCTGGGAGGGGAGGGCCAGTGTGGACGGGACACACTGGGGCCGGGGGCGGGAGGGAAATACTCACCCACGCAAGGACAGACAGACGCTAAGCTAAGGGGACAGAGCATCGGGACGAGACCAAGAGGGCAGCCGCGGAGCCCGGGAAGCACCTGTCCTGAGCACCTGCAGAGAGGATGCCGTCCCCGGTGTGGAGTGGGTCTCCCCATCGGCAGGAGCCCCGGAGTGGGCGCAGTGGGCCTCCAGAGAGAGGGGCCCTGCTGACCCCAGGAGGCCTCCTGCAGGGAGCTCTGGGGAGCAGGGAGAGGAGTGGGGGGGCATCTGGAGGGGAGCCCACCCTCTGGGGCCTGGCTGCAGACCTCGCAGGCCCAGGAGGCACAGCCCTGAGGCAGGGGACGGTGAGAGGGCACAGGGGGCGTCCCCGCAGTGTGGGGCCAGGTGGGGCGCCAGCGAGCCGCTGGGCCACGGGCCAGGGGAGGGGGGGCGGCAGCAGTAGCCATGCCCCCATACGGATTTGAAGGTTGGTGGTCCTTACCATTCAGCACTTTCAAAACATCCTTCCATTGTCTTCCTGCTCCCATCATTTCTGTTGAAAAATTCTGCGTTGTCTCTTCCTGTTGCACCCTGAGGATAATGTACCAATTTTTCCTGCATGCTTTTAAATTTTGATTTTCAGCAGTTTTATTAGGATGTTCCTACGTGTATTTTCTTTGTATTTATGCTAATTAAAATTCACAGAGTGTCTTGAATCTATGTTTTTTGTCTTTCTTCTTCTTCTTCTTCTTCTTTTTTTTTTAAATTCTTGGCCAATATCGTTCAAATATTGCTTCTGCACCGTCCTGGGTCAGCCCTCTGCTTCTGGGACAGCAGCGACAACCCAGGCTCCAAGCTACACCCAGGCTCCGTTAGCTATGTCCTAACACCTCGGGCACTCTGCTCTCTTATCTTTACTCCGTATTTGCCCTCTGCGCTTCCCCCTGGGTATTTTCTGCTCACCCAGTCTCCACTCCGAAAATCCCCTCTTCTGCTCTCTGTAATCTGTTAAAACCATCTATTCGGTTGTTGATTTGGTTATTTTAGATTTCAATACTCTAACATCCATCTGGTACTTTCTCTTTAGACATCAATTCCCTGATGAAATTCTCCCTTTTTTCCGTTTGTTTTCTTGCACATATTAATCACATTTTAAGGTTCATTGCAGTGATTCTCTTATCCGGTTACCCGTGGGTTCATGTCGACTGTTTATTCTTGCTTCATGGGACCCTGTTTCCTGGCACACCTCATCGTTTTGGGATAAATGATGATCACCCTGATGGAAAACCTTGAGGCTGTGGGAGATGTCTTTGCTATTCAGAGACAATTCATTTTTATTCTGTCAGTCAAATAGGGTAGGGGCCCATTCCTTGATACAATCAGGCATTGATAGGATTCCAAGCTTTATTTCAGGCTTTGTGAGGGTGCTCTGTTTTCTTGTTTGCAGGCATTGCCTTTTAGGGGCCAAACCCCTAGTCTGAGGAGTCACCAGGGACCCGGGACCCTGCAGGGCAAGCCTTGACCTCCACCTTCTGTGAGACTTCCCATACCTCTGCTTGCCTTCCCCCCCGCCCTTGCCTTTTATTTAGGTCTTTCTAAATTTCTCCCAAAAATGCTTTTGGGTTTTGTTTACAGCTTTATTGAGATATAACAGATATGTAGTAACCACACATAATAGAGTGTATAATTTGATGCATTTCCCTTCTGGTTTCTTCTTTGGCCCAGGGGGTATTTGGTAAGTTTGATAAGTGCTGACACCCATCACCACAATCAACACAATGAGCAAAATGTTTCCTCCTGCCCCTTGTGTCTGCGACTCTGGAATTGGCCATTTTTGTCTTCTGTCTGTTCTCCTGATCAGTCCAGAGGTGTATCAATGTTACTGGCCCTCTCCAAGAAGCATACTGGGTTTATTGATTTTCTTTTATTGTTTTTCTGTTTTCTGTTTCATTGATTTCTACTCTGGCATTTATTCTATCCTCCCCTCTGCTTAAGTGAGGTTTAATTAGTTCTTTTTCTGCCTGGTTTTGTAGGGAGGAGATGAGCTCATCAACACAGTTTCCTTCCTCTGTGACACAGGCCTTCTGGGCTAGACATCCGCCTCTAAGTGCTACTTTAGCAGAATCCCACAAATTTCGACGTGTTCGGTTTTCATTTCGTTCAATCTGAAATTATTTCTAATTCCGCTCTCGATTTCTTCTTGGACCCAAGGCTTATTTGGAAACCCGTTGTTTAGTTTGGGGAATGGGATCTGGGGTTTTCTCAAATCTTTCTCTGGGACTGCTTCCCCTCGGCACGCTGCTCTCCCCGTGCACGGCTGCGTTCAGTCCCCGTGGCAACACTGCTGCAGATCCTGTTATCTGCATTTCATGGTGGACCTCCTGAGAATCTGAGGGGTGACAGCCCCAAATCACACAACCAACAGGAGACAAAGTGGAATCCAGACTGGATCCGCTTGGCTGCTGAATCCTGTTCTCACCCAGTACACCAGAAGGGCTCACGGGGAAGCTCCCAGGGGCAGACACGTGCAGAGGCCCCGGGCCCCCCTGGGGGCCGCATCCGAGCGGGGGTGGGGGGGGTTCATTGAACAAAGGGGCAGGGGGTAGGGATGACAGCACCCCCGAGGGCAAGAGGTTTGAAGCATGTGGCTGGTTTGGGTGATGGGGAGAAGTGGGTGCTGTCAGGGCCAAGAAGCCTTTTTTTAAAAAACAAAAAAAACATTTCGTTTATTCATTTGAGAGAGAGAACCAGAGAGAGTGAGTGTGAGAGCGAGCACAAGCAGGGGGAGCGGCAGAGGGAGAGGGAGAAGCAGATCCCCGCTGAGCAGGGAGCCCGATGTGGGGCTCGATCCCA